CCTGCTGCTGTCCCAGGAGGGCTGGCCGCTGGGGGGCCCTCAGCTGCACCCAGCAGCCCCCACCGCCCCTTTGCTCGCTGCTCCCCATGCCCTGGCACGATGCACTACTGGTCACTGATCACCATCATTTTGGAAAGAGAATCCCAATCCCTGGCACCTGGGTTTGCCTCGCCCAACCCTGCTCCCCTCACTCCATTGAGCACCCCTTCCCCCCAATCTGGAGACACCACCTCACTCTCCTGGGGCCCCACACAGCCAGGCACGTCCAGACCTCCTCTTCCTCCTGCCACCACTCTGGCCACTTGGGCCGTGGACTGAAGAAAGCAAGAGCTGAGGGCCTAACCGGCTTCTGAGTCTTGAGTGTGTTAGGTCCCAGGCCTCAGGCCAGGTAAGGAGGCTTCCTCTGCTGCACCCCGAAGCCCAGCAGTCTCAGGAGTTTGGTCACACCCTCTGCCTCCTCCCAGGGCCTTTTCCTGCTTTCTCAGGAGCTGGGCCCTGCCTGCCCAGGGCTGCTCAGACTTCAGGAAAGTTTTGAGAAAGGTTAAAAGGGAAAGATCAAGTCGGCAGAGCCATGGAATTGTGAGGTCCTACATCCATAAAATCCAACTTTTAAAAGGGTTTCTTCGTTTTCTAGCCCCAGATATGACCTGGCCAATGCAAAGTGCCCAGGGCCTGGACTTAAACACACACGGGTTCTTCCAATGTGGAAGTACAAACAGGGAGAAGGAGCAGTGATTTGCCCAGGGACAAATGCAGCCAGCAGAGGTAGAATTTGGACCCACGACCAGACTCCCTCTTGAATGATTTCTGTGGCCTCCAGGAGAGGTTTGCACACATCCACGGGTGAGAGGAGCAGGTGGTCCAGAGGTGCTTGCACGCCCCCTGCTGCCATCCCAAACCAGCCCTTCAGCCTTTAAATCCCTGACCCCCCTCCCCCACCCCAGAAGGTGCCAGACCTGCCTCCAGTAGGAGTGGCTAAAAGACCCCTTCGCCTTCACAATTGCAAAGGAGAGCCAAGCTGGGCTCGCTGACCTCCCAGGTCAGCTTTTATGAGACCCCACGGAACCCAGGCAGCCCAGCCCCAAAGACCTGGGGCAGCAGCATAGCCTGCCCCAATCCCAGGCCTTTCAAGGAAGTTCTGTCCCAAACCAGGCTGGACTCTCCAGTCCTGTGCCAAGAGCTCGTTGCTGTCCTTCATTAAGATCCTGTCCCACTTGGAGCCCATTATCAAAGCATGCCAAGAGATGGCAGTGAATATTGGGCAGGTCTAAAGTGAATCTGCTTCTTCCTGATGCCTACCCTGTGCCCTAAAGGGAGTGCCCTGAGCCAGCTAGGAGGCACAGAGTCCTCCCCCACTCTAGGAGGTTCCAGATGACCTAGTTTCGTGTGCGTGTGTGTGTGTGTGTGTGTGGTCACCCAGACGTCAGTATGATGTCACCCAGTGAGTTTATTTCTGGCTGTGTCTTTGT